AATGTAAAACATATGTTGAAATCACAAGTAGTCATTACATTCTGAGTTGTTTTATGATGTCGTCCTATGAATGGAATCTTCCACAGGAATTCTTGCATCAATGTGCGTTCCATCAATTGTCCCAATGCAATCTCTAAAATATGGCATATACCTCATATCCTTACGGATGTGTACTGAAATATTTTGAAATTGCTTATCTTCGGGTGAAATAATATCCAATGACAATTGAGCTAATGCTTCAATTCCAACAGAGAAATATCTACTAATAGTTTCTATTGAATGCTGTAATCTTTCAGCAGTTGCTCGAATAGATTCATTCTGACTTAAAATAAATAATGTAATGGCAAGTACTTCTTTAATGTTCGTCCTACGCAATCCATGCATCCCGTGTTTTGATTCCAGTAAACATACCAAGTCGTTGAAAATGATTTGTGACATTCTAAAAATATTATGAAATCTAACAGGATGGCCAAAAATTAACTCAGAAATCCATTTATTTCCAGTTTGTGTAGATGTCATGCATGCTTTTTTGTTTATGTAAAGTGAATAGTAATCATGTATTAGAAAGCTTGAAGCAAGCAAGACATTATTAAATTGAACAATTGTCTTGTTCTTGTTATCTGACTCAACTTCTTCTTCAAACTCATCACTTGAACAATTCTCATTCTCATCATACATTGCTTTTCTGTTTCAATTAAAAAAATTAGTAATTAGTAAACTGACTAAATATATGAAGCAAATAACTTTTCTCGCTTACTTTGTTAATCGTGATAACGTTAGATAATGTTTTACCTTTTTTTCCTATATGCGTAGGCAACAACCCAATGGAGGAATGTGCAGGGTCGGTTGAAGGATGATGAAAGATGTTCTCGACTAGAAAAAATTGACCGTCTTAAGATTTTTCAGGTGACTCACCCTCACCTTAGTTTTTAGCTTTTTGGGTTCTTCACTTAACACTATTGAGTTGCAGGAGTAAATTCAAGATCTAGAGAAGGGAGGAAGAGGAGCAAAAGAAGATACATAGGGTTCTTTCGATCTCTTGTCACCATAATTTATATGTTTGTCTATGATATAAAAAGTTTTACAATAGTAATTATAGGAGCAATTACGGCGCCAAG